ATATATAAAATTTACATAAATAAAAATAAAATTTATCAACTTGAAAATAAATTATATTTTAATATATATATATATATATATATATATATATATATATATTTTAACTATTTAAAAAACTAATCGATTATTTCAAAAAGTAATCTATTAGTTTTTTCATACTTCATTTTTTCATACTTGATGAGAATCAGTTATTTTTTTAAATAATTAATTAATTTTTAAATAATCAATTAGTTTTTCAAATATATATTAAATAATTATAAATAAAAATATATTAACTTAAAATTAAAAAAAAATTATTTTTAAATTATATATATTATATAAATTATAAATATAAAGTTAAAAAAATTATATTTAAAATTATAACCTTAAAAAAAATTATAATGATAAAATTAATAAAAATATAACTATTTTTAATGTTAAATAAATTATATATATTATATAAATTATATATATATATATATATATATATATATTACATAAATTAAAATTACATTTATGAACTCTAAATTATTTTTATATATAAAATTTACATAAATAAAAATAAAAATTATCAACTGAAAAATAAATTATATTTTAATATATATATATTCTCCAAAGTATAACTTAATTTCATTTCTATAATATAACATATAATAGCGGTTCCACGTGGAACCGCTATTATATGTTAACTTTTAAGAGCGGTTCTATCATAGTTCACCACATATTTAATTATGATCGATTAAATTTTCAAATAATCGATTATATTTTTTAGTTCACCACATAGTTCACCACATACTTTTTTTAGTTTAGTTTTTAAATTTTATGTATTATTATTGTTAATTTATATACTAGATTAAATTTATATAAAAATAGTCTTTATCTTCAAAATTCACTTCTTCAAATACTATCTTTATATTTTTCTACTATTTTTTATAATTAAGAAGGTTAACATTTGTGCACACACTTAAATATAATATAAAGTAAAGAGTATTTGTTTATTCTATTTTATTTCCAATCTATAATTTTAGTTTTTTTTAATATATTTTGTATTTTTAAAATTAATAATTTTAATGTAGTTATCTAAATTTTTTATGTGATGATTTTAATTAATTGATATTATCGAATCATTTAATTTGATTTATTATAGTAAAAATCATAAAAATAAATGTAAAATAATATTAATTATTTTAAATTATAAGAAAATAAATAATAAAAATAGAAAATAAAGTATTCTATAAAATAAGACTAATTGTTATAAAGATAAAATAGAATATGGGAGGAAATGAGGATGATAATATAGTAAAAATGATAGAGTTTAAAAACAATGTAGAATGTAAGAAGTTTAAAAAGAAAAAAAAGTTAAAAAAGGTATATATATATATATATATATATATATATATATATATATATATAAATGTAATTGGATTAAATTTATTATCCCCTCATATATTATTATACATTATTAGCGTAATTTTAATTTAATTAAAAATTAGAATACAAATATACTATACTATACTAATATACCATTATATTATTTTCATTGTATATAAATTACAAAACTAATAATGTTAAAAAAATTTAATGATAATTTTTTAAACTTATATATTACAAAATATTTTTTAATACTTTAATAAATATAAATTTTTTAAAATATTTTCATTAATTTAAAATATAACTTTTAATATTTTTTAATATTGTTTTAAATGTGAATATCTTTAATATAAATATATAAATATGTAAAGATATAAATATATATCTTTAATATTTTGTACATGTAAATATAATTTATATATATTTTGAAATCTTTTTCTAATATTTGTATAATATACTAATATATTATTTGTATACTATACTAATAGTATAATATTATATATTATAATATTATTTGTAAACAAAACTAATATCTTTATATCTTTATATATAAATATATAAATATGGAAAGATATAAATATATGTAAAAATATAAAGATATAAATATATAAAGATATAAATATATGTAAAAATATAAAGATATAAATATATAAAGATATAAATATATAAATATGTAAAGATATAAATATATATCTTTAATATTTTGTACATGTAAATATAATTTATATATATTTTTAAACCTTTTTTCTAATATTATTTTTTAAAAATAAAATATTATTTTAAAATTTAATATTTAAATATATAAATATATAAAGATATAAAGATATAAGTATATAAAGATATAAATAAATATATAAATATATAAATATATTAATATATTAATATATAAATATGTAAATATATAAATATCTATATATATAAATATATAAATATATAAATATATAAATATGTAAATATATAAATATGTAAATATATAAATATATAAATATATAAATATATAAATATGTAAATATATAAATATATAAAAATATCAATATATAATATTTAAATATATATTAAAATATATAAATATTTTTGTATTTGTAGATTTTATAAATATATAAAGATATAAATATATAAAGATATAAATATATGTAAAGATAGAAAGATATAAATATATGTAAAGATATAAAGATATAAAATATAAAGATATAAATATATAAATATGTAAAGATATAAATATATATCTTTAATATTTTGTACATGTAAATATAATTTATATATATTTTTAAATCTTTTTCTAATATTTATTTTTAATAATATAATATTATTTTTAAAATATAATATTATTTTTAAATTTTAATATTTAATTTTTTTTTCAAATATATAAATATATAAAGATATAAATGTATAAGGATATAAATAAATATATAAATATATCAAAATATAAATATATCAATATATAAATATAAATATATATATATATATATATATATAAATATATCAATATATCAATATTATCCCCTCATATATTATTATACATTATTAGTATAATTTTAATTTAATTAAAAATTAGAATACAAATATACTATACTATACTAATATACCATTATATTATTTTCATTGTATATAAATTACAAAATTAATAATTTGTATACTATACTATACTAATATATAATTTGTATACTATACTAATAGTATAATATACTATATTATAATATTATTTGTATACAAAACTAATATCTTTATATATAAATATATAAATATGGAAAGATATAAATATATGTAAAAATATAAAGATATAAATATATAAAAATATAAATATATGTAAAAATATAAAGATATAAATATATCAATATATAAATATATCAATGTATAAATATATCAATATTTAAATATATATTAAAATATATAAATATATTTTTATTTATAGATTTTATATTTATATATTTATACGGATATACATTTATTTGTATATAAATATAATTTATTTGTAAGTTATTATTAAAAGATCCTAGTAGCTCAGTGGTTGGAGTTTCAATTCTACGGGTTTGAATCTTGACAATGACAATAAATCTAGTAATAAGTTAAAGTTCTAAAAATATAATATAATTGAGAGTTAGGGGAAATAAATATAAATAAAAACTTATATTAGTAAAAATATAATTAAAAATGTATCTTGACAATGACAATAAATCTAGTAATAAGTTAAACTTCTAAAAATATAATATAATTGAGAGTTAGGGGAAATAAATATAAATAAAAACTTATATTAGTAAAAATATAATTAAAAATGTATAGAGACCGATATAAATCGGTTGCTATTTTTTTTAACTTTGTCACCGATTTAGCGACCAATTTGATATATTAATTTCGGTCGCTAACTGATTAGCTACCGATTTTTTGACATTAACAACCGATTTTTTCGGTCGCTAAAATGGTTTTTTCTTGTAGTGATAATAAACAATATTAACAACTTATAATTGTGTTGATAAATCAAATTAACACAGAAAATAATTGGGGTCCAAAATCATTCAAATTTAACAATTGTTGAATTGACCATCGATAATTTCCTTGAGTTAGATTGAATCGATACAGGGTAGATGGTGGACGTTGATCTTAAAAGATCATCTAAACAAGATTGACGGAGGTTTTGTATCAAAGTACTTGAAGGTAGTTGGTAATGTGCATCTCAAGATTTTACAATTGTTAATGGCTATTGAAGAACTAGACATGAAAAATGAGCAGGGGACTCATAAAGGAGGAAAAACTATTTGAAAAAAAAAAAAATCTGAACTATGGAAGGAGAAAAATACTGAAAATAATGATAAATGAAATTAGTGAAAGAACGTTATTTATTTAATTAATTATATATATAACTCTTAGAATGAAAAATGAAAATAAAAAAGTACAATCTTTAGATTAAGATTAAAAAATAATAAAAATAAAAATGAAGACGCAATTAAAAATAAATTACGTGATCTTATATATCTTTCCTTTCTCTTTACTTAGTGTATTGATCTAAGTGATGTTGGATGGAGAAGTCTGATGAAAAGTATTTGAAGAGTGTCTTAATGCTGGTGTATTAATTATGGTAGCATGCATGAGTAATGAAGCTAAGAGAGATAATTGATTAATAATTGTAACAAGGATTTATTTAAGGTGCAAATGAGCAGAAAAAAGAAAAAAAGGAGCAAGGCGGTGTGAAGTTGAAGTTTGAGTGGAAGAGGTGAGTTGTTGTTTGTAGAAGGAAGGAGAGAGTGGAAAGAGTGAGAGAAATGTAAAAAATGGATAGTTGGAAGGAGAGAGTGAGTAAGAAAGAGGAGGGAAAGGGAATGGTGTGAGAGAAATGGGAGTGGGGGGCATTACAGAGGCATTGTTGTCAGATGACCCGCAACAGTTCAGAACAGATTCCACAAACAGAATAAGTGCAGACGGATGTGCATTGGGCCTCTTCGACTCATATCCAACGGCTCCAATCATCCCAATCTTTAATTTCTCTTCTTTTCCTTTTAACAAAGCAATGCTTTTTTTCCCTGAGGTTTCCATTTACACGAATATTCTTATTATTATCCGTCGTAATCCTATCCTAATTGTCCCATGTATTTTCTCTCTCAGTCACTCTCCATTTCTTGTTCATTTCTGTTGCGTTGTGTGTTTCTCAAGTTTACCTATAAGTTGCCACCACCCACAGCAGCAGCAGCCCCGATACATTCGGCCATGCTCCTGTCCGTTTCTGTGCGTCCCACTCTTGCATTTTCTTATTCTCACACCTCCAAAACTCTCTTTCTCTTTCTTTAACACATTTTTACTTCACACCTCCATCGCACTATTTTATCATCGGAACTCCAACCCATTACTCCTACAAATCCTTTATTTTACTCCACTATTAAAAAACAAATATGACCCAAATGTGGACAAAAGCTGTTTACTATGCTAATATATTTTGACGAAGAAACAAACAGGAAACAAAGACTAGTCCCGGCATTCTTTTGGGTAATCACGATTCTACTTCCACTATTTATTATCATTAGTATAGTAAATAAAAATAAAAAAGAAAAAAAATATAATGTTAGTAGAGTAGTTTGATGGGAGAGGCGCGTGAAGATTGCAGCGAAGGCAGGGAAGCGAGACAAAATGCAAGGCAGAGTGGTTCCCTGGAGCTGACAGGTGGTACCCCACATCCTTGAGATGAGCTAAGGAGACGCGCAGAGGGGAGAGCGTGTGAGAAGTATTTGTTGGTAGCCTTAAATGAACAACAATGTGAATATCTGAAGGCTCCCTCCGTAGCCAGTTAGTTCTCATTTGTATTGCTTCCAAAATCTCTGTGTGGGGGGGGATATGTGCGTTGTCCAGTACAACTAGTTTGGGTGCAGCTAGGTAGCTGTTCATTTGATTTTCCTGCCTCCCTGCCTGCCTGCCTGCCGAGCTTCGCAGTCGCAGGTAATAACGGCGCATCTTATCCGATCAGATAACAATTTCATTTTTATCTATGTGCTGCTGCTCCCTACGTTTGTGTTGTGGTTTAATTCTTGTTCCCAACAATGACAGCTCCAATCCAAATATGGAGGCGATCACTGCTTCCTTAGAGAGGTCTCTTCAAAACTGTTCATTAAACAACGATAACCACCACACGGCCACCGAGGACGGCTCACCCACAGATGCGGCATTAGGAATCTCATCCACCTCACACCATGCCCCCGACCCGGATAATATTCATCTCTCTAACTCCGACACCACTTTAGAGCTCAACTCTCACATCTCTCTCCCTTATCACTGGGAACAATGCCTAGATTTAAAGGTTCAATCCCCCTTTCCTTTTTCTCCTTCTCCACCCTCCCCCCTCCATTTATCACTTTCTCTTCTAACAATCCCTGCATGAAACTGGATCTTGCCCCTCCCTCTTCTCTTTCCACTTTTCACTCACACAAAGGTCGGCTTCGACCCTGTCTACGTTGTTGTGTATCCCATGCCTTTCTTTCCTTGAAAACACTTTTGCATATGCTCACACCAAAACCCTAGAAAAAGGATTTTCTTTTTCATTTCCTTTTTTTTTTTTGCTTTTTATCTGTTAGGAAGCAGGATGCAACTTTTCTCGGTTAGACCATCCTCAAAATCATAGATGCTATTTATTGCTTCCTTTCTGTTATTGGAGAATTTAATTTGTTAATACATATAAGGTATATATATTCTCTCTGGTAGTTAGCGAGTCTTGCAGAAGGGAAGGACCAGGGAAAAGAAATATGATTTCCCTTTAATATATCTGTTTGATCCTAGCTATTTGTTATTCTGATCCGGGTAAGAGGGGTGTGCTATTTTCCTTTTCTATTTCCGTATTCCTTGGGTTTGTTGGTTTGTTTTGAATTTGTTATTTAGTGAAAAGAATGATGTACGTGTTGCAGTGTTGTGTATGAATGGGTAATTGATTACTTGTATGCATATATGCAACAGACGGGGGAAATTTATTACATTAACTGGAGGAACGGGATGAAAGCAAAGGAGGATCCAAGAAGAGCAGCAGTGGCAGAGTTTAGTGTAAGTAGAGACTGTGAATCCGAAGAAGAGAGCTGGTACGACAGCGAAGAGTCTTCATCAGAGTCATGCCCTTCTTCATCCAAAGAGAAATACGAGGGACAGTTGGAGAAACAGAATGTTTTGGTGGTGGCTGGGTGCAAGGGCTGTCTCATGTATTTCATGGTGCCCAAGCCGGTTGAAGACTGCCCAAAATGTAGTGGTCAACTCCTCCACTTCGATCGATCCGAAAATGGCTCTCCATGATTCCCACTTCTCTTTTCTCAATTCCACCCTCCCTGTCCTTGTGTTTCTTTTTCCTTTTCCTTTTCCTTTTTCCTTTGAGTGTGAAACTATAGCTCCTCTCTCTCTCTCTTTTGTTTATTATTTTTAGGATGAAATTTTCAATCTTTTCAACTAAGACACCCTTCTTCCTCGCATTTCAATCTTCACCTAGGTTTTCATTTATTTATTTATTTATTATTAATTACTGCTATTTATTTAACATTTTGTGGGTTTTCTCGGTTCTCAATAAATAAAATGACATATATTCGGTCAATATCTACAGTGCTGGCAGTAAGGTCAGTTTTAGAAGAACGAAAGAATAATATTTGTAATGATTGCGACGTGTAGCGTTCGTGCCTTATCATATATTACTTTAAAATTGAATTAAATCAAATCAGTGTATTGTCTCTTCTTTATTGTTTATGCATTTTACAGTTTAGGTCCACTTTAGTTACTTAGTGCCATTATTGATTATTTCATTGTTTGTTCATCTCATATGCATGCTTCTGTTCACTCACTCTCTCTTCTATATTCAAACTCTAAAGCTCTCACAGAAAATGCCTATATATGTTCATTAAAAAACAATTCAAAATAATTTTAAAAGAATTTATTTATTTGATTTATTTAATAATTAAAAATAATAATTAACTTTAAGATAAAAAGTTGAGTAAGCGATGAAGTGGGAAGAAGAGAAAAATAAAATAAAAACAAAGAGAAACAAATAATGTAATAAATAAATTTGAATAAGTTTTTTATTAATAAATGTTAATGATTAATATATTAATTTATGTTAAGATTTAACTAGAATCAACAATTTATTTATTTACTTATAATTTAAATATGTTTTTAATTCATGATTTTTTATAAACTTGTTTGTAATGTTTTAAATTTAAAATTGACTTACTTAGTTTCTAATAATTGAAAATAAATGTTGTCAAACACTTAGTGAACATTACTGAATGAATAGTTTTAAAGAAAAATAAATTATAGCATATTTTATATAATGATGCGAAATTAAAATATTATGGAAGTAACTTATTGTAAGAAAAGAGAATAAAACAAGTTTTTTTATTTCTAATTGCATACACAGATCAATTTAAATTTTGGAAAAAAAAACTTCTAAGCAAAGTATTTTGAAAGGTAAGAAATGTAAATTAAGATTTATCGTAGTTTTAACCATTCTTATCTATAAGGATAATATGATAATTAGATGAATAAAAAATAAGAAGACAAAGTGAAAAACGAAAGAAAAAGAATGAATTTATCATTATTTTATTAATAAAATAACGTTTATGCTTAACACGTGCACTTAGTTTCAAAGTTGAGAGATTCAAAATTGGTAGGATTTGACCAAATAAAACAATTGTTTTCCATGGTTGACCTAGACCCTCATAATTCGATATTATCGCCGTATAAATAGGATATGCATGATTTCAATTAAAATGTATGGAGTCTAATTACAAGGGTTATTCTTGAAGTTAATTATTTTGGTAAAGTGTGGATTCGCTTTGGTCAGCTGCTTCGCGTGTTTGACAAAACTCTCTCAATAAAAAAAATTAAAAAAATAACAGCAAAATGGTTGCTGAGTCATAAGTGGGTGTGATTCAATGATTGGCCACTAAGAAATTAACAGCAAAATATCAAAGAATGTTTACCACATAACACCATTTTACAATTTAAATTCTAACATAATTTAAGCACAAAAATGCTCATATATAATTTTAGTAATTTGATTAGGGATAAATTGATTTCATTATAAATAAATAAATAAGTTCCAACATAGATTTTCCGTAACCAATTCATGTGAAGATTGTTTGAAGTAATATAATCCATTATCTAATATGAAAACAATCAATTTTCTAACGATATTCGAATATTTCAAACCATTATACTTTAGTTCTTCCATCCACGCATGTATGCATATAGGCGGGGTAATGCGTAAAAAACATTCCATGTAAATGCACAAATCAAGTACATCACATTGTCACTGTCAAGACATAACCACAAAACAAATGTAATTCCCTCCCTTTATGAATTGCAATAAGCTTAAGCTTCCTCACAAAGTGGAAGGAAAACATAAAAAGGATGAAGAGTGGAAAAGTGAAGTAATGAGTAATAGTCTAGAAAGGGAGTTGGAGGAATAACGAAAAATAAATGGGAGTGGAGGGAGTATGGAAGAGATAGTGAGACACTGTATCCAAGCGGGAACATCCGAGGGTGGTGTTGCAGGTTAGGTCATGAATTAGTTTATATTGTATTTTCTTTCAGTTTTTTCTTCATAAGTGATCACCCAGCAAGGCAGCAACAATGTTACCGAGTTGAATACATTGTTAAGTGTTGGAAAGATGCAGATAGGTTGAGGTTAAAAAGTGGAAGATCTGTGGAACAGAGTTTTTTTTTTTTTTTTTTTTTTTTTTTTTATTATTATTATTATTATTATTATTATTATTTCGAGTGTGTGTATGTACGTGTGTTGGAGGAGGCCCGCGGGGCCTGAAGATTCGAAATGAAATAAAATGGATGATAGAGAAAGTGGAGGTTGGGTGGAGAATGCAGATGAAGGGAGGTCCAAAAGGACTGTGGGTGTGTCTCATAGGCATAGCTGGACTCTGAGAAAACAAAGGAATCTTTTCTTTTATAAAAGAGTGGGGAATCTATGGATACAAGCCGTAGTGACAGTGGGAGCAGGCAGCTGTGCGTTGTTGTACAGATAGAAAGAGATGGATGGGAACGGAGTAGGCGAAAAGGAAGTGCCTATCAGCTTAGCCTGTCAACTAGTTGAGTTGGTCAAACACACACACACACACAAGTAACAATTCCATTAAAAGTAACAATTCATCCATTCACCTACCTTTGCAAAGCACATATGACAAATGTTCGTTAAAAGAAAAAACGTAATCACGGGCATAAACGGTGTTTGCTACCCTTGCTTCGTCTTCTGTGTTTCTTATAGCTTCAACAGATATCATTCTTTATTGGGTCTGGTCCCATGTTATAGCTTACCTATTCTCAACATTCGCCATTCATCCCCTTCTTTCTCTTCAAGCCCACCACCCCAATCACTCTCATACACGCATCCCCCATTCCTTTCTCCTCACCACACTCTACTATTGCCTTCACCCACTTCAACTTATCATTCTCATGCAAACCAACCACAATATTTCACTCAACATACACTCTGACTTTCTTCTTCTAAATTACACTACATTCTATCACCGGGATTAGAGTTTACATTCATACTTAACGATGGGAATGCTTTTTATATTACTTTGCAACAATTAAAGATATTCGGGAATGTTTGTCTTGTATCACAATACTTATTATTTGCTTATAATTTGCCTTGTGTATCACATATTACCGATCACGTCACTAGCTACACAAATCATTTCCACTTTTCTTTTAATATTGTTAATTCAATATAATCCAATGTTTTATATTTATATGCGCGTACTATTACGTATTATAATTTTAAGAGTTGAAGTCGTATATAACACTAATACACCAACGCCACATGCACTATCATATTTAGTGGAGTTAATGTGGTATAGTGTAGGACACGGAGCCAGAAAATTAAGTTTGGGAATTCAAATAAATAAATAATATATATATATATATATATATATATATATATATATATATATATATATATATATATATTTTATTGCATTGCTTTCTTGCCTCGTGGTCCCCAGATTTGATTCTCCAAGCCATATTTTAAGAAAACATACCATTTTAACACTTCTCTAAGAAGATTTCTCAATTTATCCCTGCCACCATATATCAAGGTAACAAGGAACTCTTTTTCTCAATTTTTTTTTACCAGTTTTATTTTCTTTTTTATTATTTAATATATAAATTTATTATTTCTTTATTTCTTTCCATTTTTTTTGACCATTATATAATTTATTTAGGAATTATTCATATTCCATATCACATTGATAGTTTTACTTTATCAATCTATTTTGATTAATTTATAGTTTTATTTTATCAATTTATTTTGATTAATTTTATGGGTTAAAGACGAAAGGGAAGTGATCCATTAATTAGTTTTTAAAATATATCTACAAACTAATATTAAAATAAAAAATTATAATTTAAAATATTATTTTTTATATTATATTATTGAAATATGAAAATATATTATAAAGTTTTAATTTAAATTAAATTTAGATTATTAATTAAAATTAAATATTTTAATATATAAATATAATAAATTTTTTTAATTTATCTAATAAAAATATTAATTAATAATAAAGATTTAAAATATTTATATAATTAAAAATGTATTTTTTTAAGAATATATAATTTTTATATATAAATTCGCTAATCTATTTTTAACATAATGAATTAGGTCTACAGTCCGCATTTATTATAATAAGTCAATTTCTCTTTCCATTTTTTTCTGAAAAAAAAGGTGCATTAATATTTTATCATCTTAAATTTATTATAATGTTTAATATGTGTTTTTAACAATTTGGGAAATTTGCATCCATGTTCAAGTGTATGTAATCTTTAATACGTGTGTTTATTATATGATTTATTGGTTAATCTAATTTATCAAGATTTTAAATATATCTATAAATGTTTACTTAAATTCTAAATAAATAAAGAGTCAACAATAGAAAATTCCCAACTTAATTTTTGCTCAATAAAATGATTTTTTTAAGAAATTACACTAAATAAATAATATTCAAAATGCACACTAGATTTATTAAAAATGATTTAAAAGTAATGGAGTTATGAGTTTAAAAAGTTTGTATTCTTGTATTAAAAAGTTCATACCACATGACTTAACTTCAACGAATTAATTGTATCAACCGGAAAAAAATCATAAAAATCTTGTTGCAGATTATTAAACTATGGTCAATAAGTTTTATAAATATATATAAATTATAATTTTTGAATATCGTTTATTATTTTAAGTAATTTTTGTTAGAATTCGTAACCAGGAAAGTATAGACGAGTTTGACTATTACTTTAAG